ACAACAACAACAACAACAACAACAACAACAACAACAACAACATACACACACGCACCAAATGCGCAGTTCACACTCATAAACACATCCAACCACATCCATGCCCTGAATACACTCCTCCCTCAGTACCCAGCAAAACGCTCACGATTTTCCCGCAGATTTTATTATCCTGCCCTTCACTGCGTAGCCTTCCTCACACATCTAAAATCAATACCGATCTGCCGAGGCCAGCTTACGTTGGATCGCCCGCGCACTAATGAGGACACTGCGTAATCAATGTCAATTTCTTTATGGACCTGTGAATTTACAGGCATCGATTAGCTGACCTTTACTCCAATACACCAGCTATACCTGCTGCCACTGGTATAGTATTTAGTTATAATAATATAATAGCTCTTGAAAAGTAGGCGGGGTGATTGGAGGTCGCCACTGCATAGGTTCTATACATTTTTACTTTCTCTTTGTTCGTTTTTTCTGTCCGTCTGTCTGTCTGTCTTATGTTTTCCCAGCTCTTCAGGACCGTTATCCATATTATGCCGATTTGCTTCTCTTTACTCAAACGAACAAAACAAAACAAACGAATGAACTAACAAACGAACGAACGAACAAATAAACTTACAAATAATTTTTAAAAAACAGACAGACAGACAGACAAACAAAGAGCTGAAAGAAAAACGTCTAGGAAAACTGAACAAGGGTGTCCTGTTTCTTCAAAACGACACACCACATCACTTAAATAAACAGCAACGGCAAAGGCAAGGCTACAGGCTAGAGAATGCGGATATGAAATTCGTATGACCCCCTCAACTAAGGTTATTAATTCAGTAGTAAGAAAGCCTAGCCCCCAACGTTCTCCCCTTAGGCATTCGTACTGAGATAGCCTCGTTCCCCCCGGATCTGTACCCCGTTCTAACAATTTTCGTTCTCAAAATCTAAAGAAACGTCTACCAAGCTGTGGTACGAACTAACATGAAAATAATCGACTTGTGTCCCGCACGCTGATATAATATTATATGACCTTGTGCAGTTGCGATCGCCGTAATTCTTTTACCAACGTGAAAAGAGATACACATATCAAAGGGAAACGTTTTGCTTCTGAAACTGAACTTATTGGAAGACCTTGAAGACTTTTCCGGTTGCAAAATAGAAGACTTTATCGTCAAGCACTTTTCAAGGTCATCCATAAATGAGAAAAACGTGTTTTTGTGGCTTGAAATTGTGTGGAGAACCATTTTTTAAAATACAGCCACTGCAGTCATTCCTTCATCATCATCATCATCATCATCATCATCATCATCATCATCATCATCATCATCCCGTGTCGGAGTTAAATCCACCAACAAGAGCTGTCCGTCTACTTCTATCCAAGGTTACGGTGTCCACCTCTGACCAACGGTATATATACATGTATTTCATATAGATCCCTCCTCCAAGTACGTTTAGGTCTTCCTCTCTTTCTCTTTCGTTGTAGAAATAATCCCTTCATGGAAAGGAGAAAACATTTTAATTATCCCACGTGCTTGTTTTGGTGGCACTTTCAGCACTATTTAATCATTATATATATGTTATTTACAAGGAAGGACCCCAGATCAATTTGCACATCTCTGATTTTTAAAAAAAGGCAAAGAGAAATTATGAGAGCCATGAAAACCAACCACCCTACCCATCTTCAAGAATGCTCTAAAATAATCTTCAATATAGAAGAAAAAAACACGCACACGTGCACGTGCACGCGCACGCACACGCACACGCACACACACACACGCGCGCGCGCGCGCGCACACACACACACACACACACACACACACACACACACACAACAGGGGGGTGGGGTGGGCGGGAGAGAAGCGGTCATTAGTGCAGGTGACGTTAGACCAGGTTCGACTACATGTATTAATTTTTCCACCTCATACGTGGTGTTTCTCTCTCTCTCTCTCTCTCTCTCTCTCTCTCTCTCTCTCTCTCTCTCTCTGTGTGTGTGTGTGTGAGTGTGCGTGTGTGTGCGTGCGCGTCTGTGTGTGTGAGTGTGTGTGCGTGCGCGCGCGTGTGCGTATGGGTGCGCGCACGTCTATGTGTGTATTTAGTGTGCAGTGGGCCTATTTATTATTTCCCACCAACCAGCTAACTAGCAGGAGAAGAACGTCTCGGGAGATATTCTGTCGTTATCTCTGACTCCAGCCGGTAATGGCGAGTTTGCTCTCCTCCTCTCCGTCAACCCCGGTGTGATTTGGTGGCCGAGCCATGTAAACTTTCCGTTTGCTTTTCCGTCCTGTGCGCGTGTCCAAGGTGTCGGTTTTCCTAACGACAATCAACGATTCTCAGACTGTGACAGACAGCGACAGACAGCTATAAGTGGTCAGCGTTTACGGAGGAATGCACTTTCTGAAAGTCTTTAATTAATTACGTCAAGCCTCGACCTCTCTTTTTTCCCTTCTATTTATTGCTGTTCGATCTTACAAAGTCGATCGCTTTCTATTATGGGTTTTATGTTCAATAACAATCACAGATCGATCCGTCCTGTGCGCATGTCCAACGGTGTCGGTTTTCCGAACGGCAATCAACGAATCTCAGACTGTGACAGATAGCTCGTAGTTTACGGAGGAATGCACTTTCTGATCTCTCTTTTTCCCCTTCTATTTATTGCTGTTCGATTTTACAAAGTCGATCGCTTTTTTATTAAGGGTTTTATGTTCAATAACAATCACAGATCGATAGTCTAGAGACGACAATCACTTGTTGACGTCTGCCTGTGACCGGTAAGATTTTCTCCAATAAAGAACAGATAAACAAAATAACGTTACACATTAGGCCTACCGCCC